GGGGGGAAAGGGACGTATTTTTGACCCTGAAGAAAGCCACCTTAAAGAATACACAAAATGCATAAACAGAAAAACGGCTAAATTTGAATTTATAAAAATCAGAAACTCTGAACAAAAGATTTCATAAGCAAAGTTAAAAGATGTTTCTCACATAATAACAGGCAAAATATTAACATCCTAAACATGTAAGGAACTTCTAAAATCAAAAATAAGAAAATGTCAAACAAAAATAACAAATGTCCCTGCATCCCTCCCTCCCGCCTTTTAGATGATCTCAGCATTTTGTCCTCTATTTTGTGGCAGAGAAGTCATCTTAGCCCCTTTCTCATGGTGTTATCTGATGTCCCCCATCTCTCAATCCCATCTGGTCCTTTTTCTTAGCAGCGTCATGGTTGTCTTGGTGGGGCAGAACAACTGGACGCCACGCCCTGCCCTGGAAAAAGTGAATTATTGTTGTCCTGAGTGAAGGCGCCATTTGCTGAGGCGGACACAGTGGGGACAGGCTCAAACTTGAGAGTCAATCCAGCGCACTGCTGGCATTCAGATGACCTAAATGAGGGCTGCCAAGCACGCAGGGGTGCAGCATAAGCTTTGCTCAGCAATAGAATTAGCCTTGATTCTGGACAGATACCTGTCTTCACTAAGGAGGTGTCGTGCTGTGTTTTCTTTTTGCAAGCAGTGACATCATTAGAGAGAATAGAATATTGCAGGCATGTCACGCAGGGATTTTCGTGTTCAACTTAGAAGACCTTCCTATTTCTCTTTCCTGCTGAGATAGGCTTTCAGCTCTCAACTGGGTAATCTGGTGAGGTCCTTCTTTCTTTCTACCCAGCCCTTCCTCTCATCCGCTTTTCTGTTTCATAAGCCGTAGACTTAGGCCTCTTTANGTGTTTTCTTTTTGCAAGCAGTGACATCATTAGAGAGAATAGAATATTGCAGGCATGTCACACAGGGATTTTCGTGTTCAACTTAGAAGACCTTCCTATTTCTCTTTCCTGCTGAGATAGGCTTTCAGCTCTCAACTGGGTAATCCGGTGAGGTCCTTCTTTCTTTCCTTACCCAGCCCTTCCTCTCATCCGCTTTTCTGTTTCATAAGCCGTAGACTTAGGCCTCTTTATATTACATTTCACAGTGTGCTTAAACACCTCCTATGGTTCCTCATCTCATTACAAAAGACAATTTACATGAGGCTGAAATGGCGATGTCAATGTGATTTGTTCTGCTCCGGGATTTTGTAAAACATTCTGCATCAGGGCTTTCCTGTAGGGTGGCAGAGAGACGAGAGTGGAACTAGGATGCATTTTAAAGCCCTATTGATATTCTCTAAGTTAATCAGATATTCCTGCCATAGATCCTGGCAGGATCACTTGGGCTTAGCTTTAAATATTAATACTGCTTAGTGCAATATTTTATGCAAAAGGAAACTCTATAGCTCAAAACAGGTGGAAAGGATTAGAGGCAGTTGGTTTATCGTGAGTGGGCAAAAAGGTATTATTACTGAACTGGCTTTCTCCCCACTCCCCTGTAGGGTCATTGTTACTACCACGGACATGTGCAAGGATATCCTGATTCGATGGTCAGTGTCAGCACTTGTTCTGGTCTCAGGTAAGTGGCCATGACCCTGGAGGCTCTAGTCTTCAGCACGATGACCGCAGACCACCTCTGTCTTTCTGTTTAAAGCGCTGTGAGTAGATGATGGGGACTCACAGCTCACCCCACCTCCACGTCGGCAGGAAGGAGAAAGGCCCTCACTCGGCTGCTCCTCACAAGAGCACGGCTCACCCAGGATCGAAGCTTCTCTTCTGCTGGGCCTTGCTCAATGCCATTCTCAGGCCTGGTGGGTTGTGAGTCACTAAACTGGCTGAGTTTCAGCATCCAAGTGATTTGTAAATTATTGTTCATTTCCATGGCTCTGATGCTTCATAATTCCCAGTGTTAAAGATAGGACATTAGGTATTAACGTTGAAGCTGCTGGCTTAATAAAAATTTAAAAGGGCCTCCTCTCATTAGGAAAT